GAATCTTGGCTCTGCCATTTACCAGCTCTGTGTTCTTGGAGAAGTCACTTAACCTTGGGTAAACCTCATTTTCTTCATCTGTATCCTTCTCATAGGGCTATTGTAAGGATTGAGTTAATAGAGGGATATATAATACATACTTAGAATACTGGCTGGTACACAGTCAACACTCCATAAGTGTTAGCTATTGCCGATATGATTATTCAACACATGTTTATTAATAGCTAATTAAATCAGGCTTAGGCAGGTTCTGAGCTAGATGATGCTTTCAACCATGTGGGCAGAGAGTAGGCTTTGCAGTCAGCCAGACCTGATTCTCATTCTGAGTTTACCTGTAGTTCCCAGCTGTGGGGCCTTAGATCAGTCTTTCACTTTCTCAGCTACAGTGTCCTCAGTTGAAAATGAGAATTATAATAGTATTATAACCCTACCTCCCTGGGTTCTGGTGAGGATCCACTGAGATAATCTATGTAAAAGCCTTAGCTCAGTTCCTGGAACATAGTAGTTACTTAATAGATGTTAATCATTATATTTATTTATCAGGAAGTTGGCTAATAAAGGGATACATCATAGTCTGAGGTAGAGCATGCTATACTAGTTGGGCAAACAACCTGCTAAGGGAGTTCAGCAGAAGAGATTAACTTTGCCAGGAAGAATCTCAGAAAGGCCAGAGGAAGTGATATGGGAATTGGACTTTGAAGAATGAGTAACGTTTTTCAGGTAGGAAATGAGGAAAGAGAAGGGATTCCAGATGGAGGGAAGATCTGCAATGGTATAAAGTTACAGAGTGCAGACATGTTTGGAAGAAGGTGATAAATTCAGTGTGGAGCTTAAGATGTGTGAGATGAAGGGGATGAGGCTGGAAGGCGTTGTTCAGGGCAAAGCATTGGCTCAAGTAGAAGTAACTGCCATCGTTAAATCAAGGGGGACTCACAGAATGCGGAGAAAGGCCAGTAGCTGGGCTGAAGAGAGGTTTTGTAGGTGGAACAGATAAGCTGAGGTGTAGATGTTCTATGTGAGTGCAGGAGAGGGCAGTGAGGGAATCAAAAGCTAGCTGCTAAGGAGTCAGGGGAGGAGGGCAGGGTTTGAGTGGATGGAACAAAGTTATGGAATGTGGAGTTCAAAAACCTGGCCCCTGCCCAGCTGATGCAGCTCAGTGGTTGAGCATCGATCTATGAACCAGGAGGTCATGGTTTGACTCCCTGTCAGGCCACATGCCCAGGTTGCAGGCTAGATCCTCAGTGTGGAGCGTGCAGGAGGCAGTGGATCAATGATTCTCTCTAATCATTGATGTTTCTATCTCCCTCTCCCTTCCTCCCAGAAATCAATAAAAACAACAACCCCCCCCCCCCCCAAAAAAAAACCCCACAAACAAACCTGGCCCTGAACCCACCTGGTATACTTCTGAGTATCTCCATGATCTGAGATTGTCATACTATTTTGGCCTTAGTTTCCTAGCCATAAAAAATGATCTTTCCTATCTGCTACACATAATTGTGGTGAGAAAGAAAAGAGGTAATGCATGTGTAAGTGCTTTGTAAGTTTTAAATAACTAAACAAATATTAGACCCCATGTTATTAGGGAGGCAGTCAATTGCCTGGGCTAGCTCAGCTAAAGCAGAGTTTTTGTGAGGTGGAAGGTGGGGAATATCTGTCCTGGGTAAAGATAAAGATAGACACAGCAATCAACACACATACACACACACACACACACACACACACACACACACACTACAGATATATACAGCAATTTCCACACTGGGCTGGGTCTGTAGGAGGGCAATGGGAAACTCTCAATTCTATCACCATTGAGCCTACCATTTGCCTTATCCTGTCTTATCTCTCACTTGGATATAAATAAGATAGTCCAATGGTTCATATCTGAAGTCTTTAGCTGAGCCTCAGGTATCTGGGGAACCATGACAAACCTACATAATAAAAGCCTAATATGCAAAGTGACCAAACGGCAGAATGACCGGTGCTATGATGTGCACTGACTACCAGGGGGCAGATGTTTAATGCAGGAGCTGCCCCCTGGTGGTCAATGCACTCCCCAGGGGGAGTGCCGCTCAGCCAGTATCCGGGCTCATGGCTGGCAAACACAGTGGTGGTGGTGGGAACCTCTCCTGCATCCACGGCAGTGGGCCTAAGCCAGCAGTTGGACATCCCCTGAGGGGTCCTGGACTGCATTGCACAGGTCGGGCTGAGGGACACACACACCTCCCCCAGTGCATGAATCTTGTGTACCCGGCCTCTAGTTTATGAATAAAAGCTTGTGCTATGTTTTTCTAGGGCTAGAATCCAGAGTCTCCAACAAAGTCCAGTAGGCTCAGTGACCTCTCTCCCCCAAAGGTTAAGAGTCATTGTTTTCCTCACCAGAAATTAATAATAGCTATCCTTGCCCTGGCCAGTGTGGCTCAGAGGATAAAGTGTAGGCCTGAGAACCAAAGGTCTCCTGTTTGATTCCCTGTCAAGGGCAGTACCTGCATTGCAGGTTGGATCCCCTGCATGAAGAGGCATCCAATCGATGTGTCTCTCTTATATAGATGTTCCTCTCTCTCTGTCTCTCTCTCTCTCTGCCTCCCTCCCTCCCTCCCTCTAAAAAGCAGTGGAAAAAATAACCTTGGGTGAGGTTTAACAAAAAAACCCACAAAAAACAAACACACAAGAATAGCTATCCTTGGGGAGAAGAACTGGTGGGTGAAGGGGAGAGATTTTCATGTTTAATTTTCAACTTTTCTGAATTGGTTGAATTTCCTAACCACAACACATATTAGTTTCATTTAAAAATGTCATCAGTAGTTATCTGGGTGGTTTAAGATTTCATCTTTATACACCTTTACTAAAACACAACAAACACAAACACTAATAGCTGTTATTAAAAAACATACCTTGATAATATCAGCAGGGGCATACACTCACACATAAATCATTCCATTATGCAAAGTACATCCTCCATTATGTAGGGTAAAATGTCTACATTTCCTATAAACTACTGGCTTCATTCAATGCAGTAAAACTTGCGATTTAAATTAACCAGGAAAAAAAAAAGGCGATTTTAAGTATTTCAACTCAGAAGCATAAAAATGTGTATACGTGTCAATACATATATATACTGCCTTCTGCATTCTCGTGAATTGGCCAATGTGCAAGCAGTTGACGTTTGATGCTTCAAGCGAGGGAACAGAGAACAGGGTTAAATCCACTACTCTCTCCCCACGCACTCTAGTAATTATTCTATTTCCACGTCATATTTCCGGGTGTGTGTGTGTCTCATCTCACGCAGAAACTGGAGTTCAGGGCAGGCAGGAGACACCCATGTTTTTTTTACTGTCCTCAGAAACCCAGTTGAGGTGTTGGGCCCCCTGGGGATCTGGCGATACTTGGGGACTAACTGGCTGATTCCCACGTGGTAAGTGGCTCCCACCCTGGCCGCCACGTGGTATTTAGAACCGGAAAAGGGGAGAGCAGGCAAAAGAGAGCCGCATCAGGGGCATTTAAAGTGTCTTGACGTCACACACTGCCAGGAACTCAGCTGAGTTTTTAGCAGGACATTCCAGCCATCTTCCCTCCCTCCCTCCGGACTTCTGGTCCCGAGACATCGGCAATTCCCCTTCTATTGCGGAGGGAGGAGGACTGAGCCTTCGGAACAGCCAGCACGGGGCGTTCCCAGCTGTATGCTGGCCCCGCCCTTTATCCCTAAGGCTCTTCTCATTGGTCAGTTGGTGTGCAGTACACGCTCCAGCGCTTCTGTGTGGAGGAGAATACTGGCCGTCTCATGAATTATGCAAGAAGGCGTGTCTTGGTCAGGATGGGGCTGGGCGGGGATTGGCTGGAGGGGCTGTAATTCAGAGGTTTCCGGAGCTGCGGCGGCGGCGGCGGCGTGGGAAGTTGTGGAAGGAAACTTCAGAGGGGCGGGAGGATAGAGGAGACTTGGAGGGCCGCTCTGAAGGGACACCTCCGGGGTGACAGGAGCGGGCCTCTGAAGGGACAGAGGGCGCTGGAAGGAAGTTTCGTTCTTCGGAGGAAGGGAAGGCGGCGAGGAAGAGAGAACGGGCTCGAGGGGGGAGGACCGTGGGGCGAGAGCACTCGCGTGGGGGTGGCGGGAGTGAGGGACAGCCCCCCCCCTAGACTGGGAGGGAGAGCCTGGGGTTCCGTCGTTGCAGCGGAGGGAGTGAGCCCGAACCGGATCCTTGACGAGTAACCCGGCTCGGCTCTCCCTCTCCGCGTCTGCGAGGAGAGACCCTGCGGCCTGAGGGAGCCCGCGGCCCGTAACCCCGGAGCAACGCACCCCGGCCTGTCGGGCCTCAGCCCGAGAAACAGGCCTGGTGAGGAGCTACTTTGGAAGGAGAGCCTGCCCTCCAGTGTGGAGGAGCGAGGAACTGGTCTCCCTGAGTCCTGCTCGAATTGCATATGAGGTGTCTCTTCGTTCCCCCGTTGTTGTCCCGCGGGTCGGGACAGTCTGGCGCCCAACGGTGGGGCGACTTGGGGACCCCCTGCGAGAACGTCTGCTTGAAGCGCCTGGCCAGGCACCCCTTTGAGTCGCCGCGCAGTATTGACTCGTGAGTGAAGACTCGGCATCTGGATCGCCACGGTTTCGCCCGCCCGTGAGACAGATCGTTGTGAAGGTAAGCAGACGAAACTTTTCAAACAAGAATTTCAAAATACCTCTTGAGGGTGGCGGGAGTGAGGGACAGCCCCCCCCCACTTCCTGCTCCCTGGGACTCGGGGACGTTCCGGCCATAGGAGCGGCTGTCAAGCCGCGGAGGTCGCGGAGAGGCGGGGTGGCGTTGAAAAGAGCCCCCCGTCCTCGGCCTTGCCCTGTGTTGGATCCCTTAGGAGCCGGCTGTGCCCCTCTGGAGGTAGAAATAGGTGTCTTCCTCCTACGGTCTCCTGGCCTCATTGGTTGTGGGTAGGATTATTGCATAAGAATCAAGTTTCCTGTAGGGAAATTGACAGCCTTACACACTCTTTCTAAATCCCCTCCGGTCTTTTTCTAGGTTAAGCCGGGTTTCTCCCCAACCCCCTTCAAAAAAAGAACCACAAACCAAAACACAACAACAAAATACCACTCCCCCCTTCCCCCCAATCAAGCCAGCCCTAGAGAGAAATAAACCTCTTTTCTCCGTGTCATTGTTCTTTTATAAACACCTGGTAAACTCGGCCAGAAGATAAATAATGGAGCCCCTACGTTTACTGGATTGTGGTGTTGCTTAATTGCATAGGGCAGAATGAGCCAATCGCGAGTAGGAGTTTTTTTTGTCTCAGAGCCAAGATCTTGGGTAAATGCAGAGGAGAGGGAAACAAAGACTGGCTGGCCTTGGTGAAGCCATGTGTGCAAACTTTACCTGTGTTCGGGTGGTGTGGCGGGGCTTCCGTTAGCCAAATCCAAACTGCCACCCAAGTTGCTTTTTCCATGTTTAGTAGACATCCCTCTGTTATATCCAGTGGGTGTATAGTGTTGACACCCTTATTCTTATACAAAAATATGTGTAATGTGCACCTGCTGGTTTTATATTCTGTGTATGAGTTGTAACTTTGGTTAGCTGTGCTGATAAAGCATTGGTTTGAATACATCAGAATAGTAAATCGTCTCAGTCTCTTATATGTGGCTTTAGACTGTTATAACCTGATTCAGCCAGTTTTCTATTTTGTTATATGTTAAATATGTCTGTGTTCCTTGAGTCAACACATTTAGTTCCTTATTACATATGCCAGACTGGAATACTGGCAGAATTTATGCTCAGACTAGTGGGATGGGGGAAGGAAGGCTGCAATACAAAAAAAAAAAAAAATTGTAGATGTTGGAGGGTTGTTCTTAGTCTCTATATTTCTTAGCACATCCATCACAAAAAAACCACTAGCAAGTTTATGAATCTTTTGTTTTTGTGTCTAGTCCTGTTGGAAAGAAGAACCATTTAGAAATATCCACAGTTATGATTTGACCCACAAGGGATAGATAGTTCATATCCTATTTTGTAGACTAGGAAATTGAGGCCAAAGGAACAAGACACTTGCCTAAGGCAGCAGAGTGCCATAGTGGTGGAACTCACACTCCTGTATATTTTGTGTTCCTTCGACTATTTATGCTTAACCCTACCAGACCGCTGTACCGATTTTTCGGTAATTTCCACACAAAGGTGGAATATTGACGCTAGATGAAAGGTAGATGAAAGGTAGATGAAAGGTAGACGAAAGGTAGACCTATTTTCTACAATGTCTCCAAGTTCTATCTTATTCTAACCACTTGTTTGCATGTAACTAACATTTTTCTATATCATGTTGGTTTTTTCTCTTTAATGCTCAGGAGCCCAGGTATAGGGGACAGTTAAGTTCAGGGCCTCAGGTCTGGTAGGATTAGTATTCGGTCTTATTTTAGAGCGAGTGTAAACCCCATTGGGAAAACTGTTAGTGAAATTCTAACGTACACATGGATAGTGAAATACCACCAATAGGCTGTAAGACTCCATGGGAGATATGTGATAAACAGGAGGAAAAGTGCAAGTGGGGTTTGCTTAGGTCATTTTTCTAACTGCTCTATCTAACTTGGGAAGTAACTGACTTTTTAGTTGGCATAATTTATCCTCAGAATTTAGCTATTTCCTAATGGAAGGAGATATTTATTTAGGCAAGCTTGTAGATGAAGGACAGTTGTGACCTAAATGTCACTTCAACCTGTGGCTGCATCAGTGGCCATTTGCGTTTCCAGAAAGTTGCTTTCTCCTCCTTGATTCTGCATGTTTTGACATTTAGATGTGAGATGGGGCAGAGATAGTGACTCTCATTGCAGACACAGAGTCCAGCACCTTTTTACCTTATAGTTTTCTCAGAGATGGTGTACAAATGAACAAATATTTACTTTCTGCAACTTAGTGAAAGTTGCTGTGAAGAATGAGATGACTTGTTTATAGAACTTGCAGTTTACTGAGGCAACTTGAAAAATGCTTTACCCCTACAATGCAGCATGTCTTCAAAGAGATGGTGGGACATTGTCTGATATTCAATAAATTAGCTATTTTATATAATATACTAGAGGCCTGATGCACGAAAATTCGTGCAAGAGTAGGCCTTCCTTCTCCTGCCTGCTGGCACCGGCTTCCCTCCGGCCCCCGGGACCAGGGCTGCTTCCCTCCAGCCATCGGCAGGCACCCAGGATCCAGGCTTCGCTCTGGCCCTGGCTTCATCCAGAAGGACGTCCGGTCTAATTAGCATATTACCCTTTTATTATTATAGATAGCACAGATAAAGAATATTTCTATTATTGTGGAAAGTTCTACTGGACAGTGTTGTAGTAAGCGCTACAGGTCTTTAGAGGAAGGAGAGGTTACAAGGCATGGAGTTCTGTAGGAATTCTTCTTGCCAAAGGAGAGATTTGATCTAGGTCTCAAATAATGGTTGGAGTTTGATATCTATAAAGAATTTCCGGTGAGGAGTTATGGTGATATAGCACAAAATCCTGGTAGATTAGGCAGGTAAGTAGGGGAGAAGGAGTGCCTACTTATATGATATCTTGACTATAAGACCAAGGAATTTCAGTACAATCCTTTTGTAGGGGAAGCTTTTAATGATGTGTGAGGCCAAGTACTGGTGTTTAATTATGGAGTGCCTACTATGTGACAGGCATGTGGCCGGCATTGGTTAATTTGTACAAAGTATATCAGTATACATAGCCTCTGCCCTAGTGGAGTTGTCATTGAGGTTAACCTTATAAACTGGGAGCACCCAAAGAAAGGTGAACTGATTTATTGGATTTGTGTGCATTAAGTGCAGATATGTGTTTGTTTGTTTTTTTGGATTTTTAATTGTCTACAAATTGACTACTCACCTTTTATGTCTTCCATATTTTAAAAATTTTACTATAACTTTTGGGTCATTCATAAAAACCAGCCAAAGAACACTTTAAGAACATCCCCAAATCCTGAAGAACCTCTGGTGTCCTGTAGCAAGCAGCCTTGGTGAGGTCCAGCCTTGGCATTGCTGGGCTGTTTCAGTCTTTGTTGGTTATGGTGAAAAAATTAATGTTATGGTTACACATTCGTTGCTAGAAACCTTGGCTTACTATGGTGCACTTTAATCAGGATGGCCAGATAGTACTTTGGCCGTAAATTGTTTGGGATGTCTTCAGTTTTTAAAGGGAATAGCATATGGAAGAATGAATTTCTATTATGGTCAGTTCTCATTTACCATGTTAGGATTATCACAACTCTTAGTTCAGATAGGCAAACATATTATACTAGAGGCCCAATGCATGAAATCCGTGCAAGGGGCTCGGCCCTCGCAGCCCCGGCTTCGTCCGGAAGGTTGTCCAGATGCTGTTTTGTCTAATTAGCATATTAGCTCTTTATTATATAGGATTATATAGGATATTGAGAGCCAGTTATTGTGCTAGGCAGGATCCAGAGATAGTGAAACATGGTCCCTGTTTTCACGGAACTGGGGGCATTACTGTGGGGACAGAGGGTATGCTCTGTTAGTATGGACTTCAGGCAGAGTAGATGACAGAATAGTGGTTTAAGGTTCAAACTCTGGAGTCAAACAGATCTGGGATTGGATCCTGGATCTGCCACTTATAGACTCAGTGAAATAAAATAGGTAAAATGTTTAGCATAGTGCCTGGCGCACAGTAAGAATTCCATAAATCTAAGTTCTTATTAAATGTCTAGTTAAAGAGATTGATTCTCTTCACGGATGAGAAAAGACTTTGTCATACAGGGGCTTTATCAGGTGGGAACTCCTGAATAGGGTTTTGTAGGATGAATAGAACTTTTCCTTCAGAGCTAAGTGGTAAGCAGTTGCATTCAAGGCCAAAGGAATAGGAATAAGAGGCTTAAAACAGAATAGTGCATTCAGGGAGCTCTAAGTGGAAGTTCTTAATTTAGGAGAACTAAACTGAGGGTAAAGGAAGCTGCAGAGCTACAGCTCTTATCCTTTCTCTTCTGTTAATAATTGGGTTCAAATGTCATTAAGTTGTTTTTCCTGTTTAGGGAAGTAATACATGCTTGGTGATTATCAGAGGAAAAGGGGGTTGGGGGCAGGTAGAAAGGGGTAAAGGCAGATAAAAGGTGACTGAAGGAGTCTTGACTTTGGGTGGTGAACATAATATATAGATAATGTATTATAGAATTGTACACTTGAAACCTATATAATTTTATTAACTAATGTCACCCCAATAAATTCAATAAAAAAATAAAAAAAGAACTAATACATGCTATTGTAAAACATTTAAATTTGTAAAAATATGTATTATATATTTTTATATATAATAGGTTAATAGTTTGGTGTATATTTCTCCAGACTTCTTGCAGCTTTTTCTACTTATCAGTTTATCTTGGACATATTGCAAATTCCTTTTTCACAGTCTAATAAAAGAACAATAAGGAAGGTAAATCTGCCCCACTCCAAGACAAAATAAGGTTTGGATTATCTGGTTTTCCTTTCTGCTGCCTCCATCCACTAGAATAAATGACATTTCTAATCAGTGAACTTCTACCTGACCTTTGACTTTTTAACTACATTGGATGAGGAACTTATGTTTTGAGCTTTCCTAACATAGCTATTATTATAGTGTTGAAATGCTTGGGCGGTGTGTTTGAGGGTTTTATGGTCCACCGTTGCTATAGATAAAAGAATGGTCCAGCCCTAACCGGTTTGGCTCAATGGATAGAGCGTCGGCCTGCGGACTCAAGGGTCCCACGTTCGATTCCGGTCAAGGGCATGTACCTTGGTTGCAGACACATACCCAGTAGGGAGTATGCAGGAGGCAGCTGATTGATGTTTCTCTCTCATCGTTGTTTCTAACTCTCTATCTCTCTCCCTTCCTCTCTGTAAGAAATCAATAAAATATATTAAAGAATGGTCCAGATCCATAACCTCTTGGACCTTGGGGTCAGTTGTTTTAACTTCTCTAGGTTTCAGTTTCTCTATCCAAAAAATGGTCCAATTGGAGGGGAGTCATGAAGATTAAGCAAGATGCTGTATATAAACTACTTTGCTCAGTGCCTGGCA